AAGGACTGCAGGATGTTTTAATCAGCATAAGCAGATGGCTCCCCCCACCCTGACACAGCAGTGGGCTCCCAGGTTGTCTGTGGGACACGCTGGGCTGTGCAGCAGATGCCTGGGTCTCAAGCAGGCAGTTTTACTGCTCTGGCTCCAGGGCAGCAGTAGTTTGGGTGCTCCATGCTGCGGGATTTCCAGGCTGAAGGTTTCCACCAGGGGTCATCCTGGGCTGCCTGCTGCAAGGCCAGTGGGTTTCAGATAAAGCAGGGTTGGATCCACAGCCTCTAGGACCCTGGGCACAGCATCAGCCACCCCAGCACAGCTGCACAGCTCACCGGGTAAAAAGCATGATATTAAAAAAATGCAGCTGTTTACATGCTGGTCTTTTCGCCTTTAAAAAGTTATTTATTTCTTGATACAGCTATCTGATTTAAAAAATGTGCTTATTTAGATGTGTTTCCTGAGTGTTGGTGCAGAAATCACATGGCATGTCAGGCATAGCTAAAGTGGACTAGTGTTTTGTTTATGCACCTGGCAGCCTGTTTGCTTGTTTGTCTCTCCTGAAGTAATGTATTGAGAATCTCAGTTTTCAGTTGTGTAAAAAGAAGAACTGACATAGTCCTGTAGTTGTTCAGAAGAGTGTAAAAATAAAAGCCTTAAAGACTCTTTAAGCTGAAGGTAAATACAGGGAATTCAGTGTTTGTCTATTAAAAAATGAAAATGTCAGGATTCCTCAACCAACATACTCTTGTTCCATCAGGAGTCATTGAAGGGTTTATTATTAGGATTGATAGCACTAGTGGAGCTCTAGTGGTCCCTCTAAGATGTCTTCATTTTCATGGCAACAGTTCTTGCAGTCAACCTTGACTCTTCTATCTTCTTTTCTCTTCATTGTATCATCTATTAACGTCTGTCATCTCCAAAATAAAAAGCAGCAGTTCACCATTGAGTTACCTAAGCAATAAACTTTGCAGCTGGTACATCCAAGCCTGTGAGCTTGCTTTCTTCTGTCTAGCACTGTGAAACAGTCATGTTTTTATCACATTAGTATTCTCAACAGTGGTAGATCATGTTACATAGATGCTGGTTTTCAAAGTCAAGTTCACTTTATTGTCTGCTGGAAACTCTCATGTCTCGGGCAAAAATAGATGCTGCAAGTCCCTGAGTGTCAAACTGTCATTCACATTTTGAAGAGGGGATGGAAACCTGAAGTTACTTTTATGTGTGGATTTAAGGCTTGAAGAATCTATCTAGACATCTCCAGAATTACACAACATAAAGAGGGAAAAAGGCTTCCCCCCCAACACTCCTCTGCTACACTAAAGAATTCTGTAGGACTTCAGAATATTATTTCTTTCCACCAACTGTTCATGTGCAGCAAAAGCAATTTGAATTGGAACTTTTTCCTTGCCAACTTTTCATTCAACACACACAATACTGAACTATTTACACTTTATTTTTAATAGCTACCGCAGAAGATGATTCTGTTCTGCACACCCGAGAGTGCACAATAAAATAACTGTTTGGCAGGGGGAAAATGCCCTGTTGTCTTGCAGTACCAGTTGGTATTATGGAGGTTTGTTTAGTGTCTTATTTATAGTAGGCTGCAATTGGAGATGTGATACAAACACTGATGTTTCAGTAGTTTAGCCGTGCATCAGATTTTTACCTTGATAGTTATTTTTATTTTAAGCATCTTTTGTCATGACTTGAAAAACTACAACAGCGAAGGGACAGTCAATCTGCTGAGGTCTCAGCATCCACATTCTTAAAAGAAAGATAATGTTCCATGTCACACCCTCCAGGAATGCTCCCAGGCAGATTCACATTTATGCTGATGCTCCTTTACACCACCCAGAGAGACAGTTTATACCAGTCATGAGACCTCTTGCTGCTAGTGATAATCCTGTGGATGGAAAGTTTATAAACTTTGCTTCTCTGTTTATCTATTTATTTATTTATTAGTATGAGAAGCACTTTCTTCAGTATTAAATAATCTATTTTCCTTTAAAGGCAGTGGGACCTAGGTTTTGACAGACCTGCAGGCTGCTTGCAGTGATCTCTTCTCATGGTTTTGGCTCTTTGGCTGGGCTTGTGTTTGGGTGTGCATGGCTCTGGTGCCTGCAGGTATCTGTGTGTGCTCCAGTTGTATATGGAGGGTTCTGCCTTGGCACTGTCCACTCGGCCTCTCCAGCTGTGAAAAATTCAGTGGAATTTCTTTTTTGCAGGGATACAAAAATGCACTGAAAGCACCGAAAAGTCTAGTTCAGGGGTAATCCTACTAAAGCATGCATTTGGGAGAGAAACGGTGTCCAAGTATGTCTAGTCACATTTCAAATTGTTTTTCTCTCTGTCTAGTGTGGCTTCTAGCTCCTACCTTTGTGTATTACTAAGCAATAAACACTTCTTGGCTTGCTCCGTGGCTCTTTGTTTTGTGTGTTTACAAGATGTGTGAGGGAAGCCTTCCTTCAGGAGAAAAGCTAAAAAAACCTCTTCAAGGCAGTGGAGAAAAAAAATGAAGACTTTCATTGCTTTTATAGCACCCTCATCTTTTGCCTGCAGTTGGACACCATCACTCACATCTTTCCTGTCTGCAGTTGGGTGGATGTGCACGGATGCTGGAGTGGCCTCCTGGTGTCTCTCTGGAAGGTGCTGGGCTGAGGCAGGAGGCTTTGATCACTTTATTTTTTTGAACTCATTTAGTGGTTTTCTGAAGCCAGGTAATGATGCTGTGCCCTCTGCACTGCAAGCTGCTGTCAGTCGAGCAGAGTGGGTTACAGTTATGCAAACTCACCTTGTGTTCCCCCATCCCTGGGTAACCTGAGCCTTCTCTGAGCATGGCTTTGTGGCTCCTGTTGACAGTCAATAGGTTTGGATTTGAGTGCAGGCTTGGACCCAGGCTTAAAATACCATGGGTGCATACTGGTGTGGCCAGAACACCTCACTGTCCTCAGAAATTTACAATCAGATGTTTTTGAAATTCTACCTCCTCTGTTCCTGATCAGTACATAGGATATTTACTGTGCCTGAATATACACCCAGAGTAAAGGACAGTGCATGTTTAACCTTAGAGGCTCAAGTGTTTTCTTGGATATGGGAATGGTGACTGTGTTTGAACCAACACTGAGGATCTCAAGTCCCTCCTCAGGCAATAAATATGCACTGATCTGGATAAAGCACTTTTTACTCTCCTGAGTCTGTCTCTGTGAAGAGAAATTCCTTCTAATATTTTTCCTGGTCAGTTGTTGGATGGAATCTGGGTCTGCTTTCAAAGCACTTGTCTTTAAGATGCATCAGGTTACCCTGAGGTAAAATGGAAACCTTAGATGTTACTTCTGTAAATAAATGTTTACATAATACATTGGACTGAACTTCTCACCATTGCATGTCTTAGGGAAAAAAGGTCACTTTTGACATCAGTAACCTTTAGAGTGATGCATTTGCCACACAGGTAAAGAGCTCAGCACATTCCTTTTGCTAGCTGAAGAAGGTAGGAGAGGTCAAATGCTATTGCTTACACCTCCCAAGCCTTGGCATTTTCAGCTTGGAAGGCAGGAGCTGGTTTGAAGGTGTTGGTCCTGTAAACAGCACATGCCCCATTTTGCTCATGTGAGTGATTCCATTGAGTTTCCTGGCTCTGGTCACATAGGAAAAGCTCCATGTGTGTCTGTGTGGGTCCTCAACTCTTCCTTTCTAAATGAGAAATTTCTTGTCAAACATTCATGGTTACAAACGACAGTGGTTTGGGATTTGGAACCAAGTAAGTGATCTGTGTGGAGGAGCAGGAGATCCTGATGGTAAATAGATTTTTGCTGCTTTTGTATTTGATATATTGTCAGAACCTGTAGATTTTCAGACAAGGAACAAAGCTGAAATGGGAGCTACGATGCTCGAGTCTTCTGCCCTAAATTTTTTCTTGATCTTTGACCAAAGATAATACAAAACCAGCAGTATGAATGATTAGCCCCACATACGGTTGTGACAATATTTAATACCCTTTTTCATTGTGCGTGGCTTTGTTGGATGCTCAGTTCCTTCCTCACCTCCCTGTCCATCTCTCTGGCTCCTCCCCCACGATTTAGACCAAAAAAACCCCAACAAAAAGGTTCTTTAAATATCAGACTCTGCTTTTGAGAGGCACCGGGCAGCCTTGCTGGCAGGGGCTGCCACAGCAGCAACCACGAGACCCGTGTTTACAGGTATCGGGTGGCTCAGGATTTCTCTGGGGTGGGGTTATTTCATATAGGTAAGGCTATAGATGTTTATCCCCCCCCCCCAGAATCCCCCTGTATCTTGCCAGCCGCTTGTCCACACGTCCCCGACGCTTCCCCTGCCTCACCAAGATGCCTGGCGGGTGGAACGTGGGCAGGGGTGGCGGCTGCAGGTGTCACCGCTGTCACCCGGTGGGTGGGTGTCCTGTCCCCGCTGCCTCCTGCCCGGGCTGCAAGGAGCCCTGCCCCGCCTCGCCCCCTCCTGCCCGGGGGACCCGGGTCATGAGACTCAACAGAGGAGGAGGAGGAGGAAGAGGAGGAGGGAAGGCTTGGGGTTGACATGCAGGCTCGGGCAGCGCTCGGCTTCCCCATCAATTAGCTCGGTCGCCGCTGCAGCGAGAAGACACTTGGGAGAGACAAAAGGAGCAGGGGGAGCCGGGCGGGATTTCCCGGAGCGGGAGCCGCGGTGGCACAGGCTGCAGGGGCAGGGCTGGGGGGATGAAACCGCAGGGCAGCCCCCTGCCC